TTTCTTTCTTTCTTTCTTTCTTTCTTTCTTTCTTTCTTTCTTTCTTTCTTTCTTTCTTTCTTTCTTTCTTTCTTCCTTCCTTCCTTCCTTCCTTCCTTCCTTCCTTCCTTCCTTTCTGTTAGAAATTCTGTTTATATATAGCAGTACAGAACAAAGTGTACAGACAGTTTGTCACCTAGACATGCATTGGAATATGTTGTGGGCAAGCTTACAGATGAATATAAGTGTAAAACAGAAAGCATGGCCCCACAGAGTCTGCTTTAAAGATGAAAAACATAAATAAAACAGTTACATAAATCAAGACACATGTGAATGCTTTATGTGCAAGAAAAGGCTTTATTTAAAAGCAGATTGCAGAATCTGGAAACCTAGAATGTATAAACTACTGTTGGAAGTTAAAACCCACCCCTCTCTTAGAAAAATGAAATATTTTAGGATATACTAAAAAGGCAGAATATTCCCCCTAAAAGAGAAGTAGAAACTCAGAGAGGCAGAAACTGAGCAACGCCCCCCCCCCACCTTTGTTAATGAGCCATTAAGGCCCGAGCCAATCTATTCTACATAACAAAGATCTACCTCCTTCAGGCAGAGCCATAATAGAAATTGCCAAAAGCCCTTTCATTATAACATCACCCAGCAAGAGTCAACCGAGCCTGGGACTCAAAAGACAACCTACAGAGTTACCCCTGCATGGCCCCATGAGAGTCTGACAACCAATCAGAACACAAACTCAAATTCAAAGCCCAACAGAGCATAAAACCCAGGCATTCTCAGCAACTCTGCCCTTTTCTGCACAGGAACCTATCCTGTTCATCAATAAACCATCTTTCCTAGCAGTTCCATGTTTCCAGTGTCTTTTTCCCCACTTGGAACTGAACCCAGAAAGATATTTCTTCCAATACTACAAAAGGCCAAATATGTGAAAGAAAAAAACTGATTTTGTTTCAGATAATTGTTATGTTTTTCAATCCAAAAGTTGAACCTCATCTTTGCAAGAATGATTTATTGATTCAGGAGCTATGAGTCACATGACAAATGACAGAAATTTCTTTATTCACCTTGGCCAGAATAAAACAGAAAAAATCACTACAGCTAATGGGTAAATAATTGATTCAGAAGAAATAGGAGATGGTTTTCTTTACTGTCCTATTTTTCAGAGTGTCACCAGAAAGACACTTGTGAAAAATATAATGTATATCCCTGCTTTTGAAACTAATTGTTTGTCAGTAAAGAAAACAAGGCTATGTCCCCCACTTCAAAGGGGACAGTTGTGTTATCACAAAAGTGGATATTGCTTGCCAAAGCTAAAATTACAAATGAACTGTATCAGCTGAACTATCAGATGGTTAATACTGCCAAAGAGAAAAAACATTCAAACTGCATTTACATATGGCACAGACAACTTGGATATAGAAGTCCTGACATAATAAAGACATTAACTGAGAAAGACTATGCAAATGTATATAAATAATTAATTTTTATTCCATGTGATCAGTTAATGAAATGAATCAGCTGTACAAAACAAAGCAGAGTAATAGCAGTGCTAAAAAAAAAACCCTCTGGACTTAATGCAACCAGATCTTTGAAGGCCAATGAAAACAGAAGAAATATTTTCTCACTTTTATAGGAGATTATTCCAGGTATACTACACTATACCTGTTACACAAGAAAAGTGAAGTACCAAAGAAACTTAAACAGTATTTAGGTCAAGGAAACATACTAAACAACAAATTTGGCAAAATTCCGAGTGCCTCACAGACAACTGAACTGAGTATACAGGTGAGAACACACAGATTCTCAGAAAGCATGGCATAGTATTTCAGATTACTGTACCATTCAGTCCAGAACAACATGGAGTTGCAGAAAGAATGAATATTACTCTATGATGGAGAGAAAGAACCATGCTGTTTGTGGGAAATATGCCAACTACATATGGGGGGATGCAATTATGACTGCATGCTATCTCAAAAATTGACTACCAGGAAAATCAACTGAGAAAACTCCATATGAACTGTGTAATGGAAAACCCCCAAATTTAAGGCATATAAAAATTTTGGAAGCAGTCTTTGTGCACATTCCAAAACAAAAGCGTATTAAATGGGGATGCTTGCGCAAAGGAAGGTGTACTGTGAATCTCAAAAGGGTACAGAATTCTACACCAAAATGCAAACAAGATAATCATCAGTAGAAATGTCATTGTTGATGAAACTTCAGTGTGTTCAAAATTTCATGAAGTAACATAAACGCTGCAAACTGAGGGAAATTCCACATCAGTGTCACATGAAGATAAGAAACAAAATGAAATGGAAATAGAAATTAACACAGACTACCCAAACGTTGTAAAAGAAGAAATCAGGCCATAAGAGATTTCAATCAGGAAAACCACCAGAAGCAATAAAGGCATCCCAGCCAAATCTCTCTCCTATGTTGCTTGTGTAGCATTAAAACCCAGAGTTGGAAAGGAGAAGCCAAAAGAGGCTGCAGTTACCACCCTGGTCCCCTGGCCAAGCTGGAGCCAGAGCCAGAGCCTCAGCAGCTGCAGGGTCAGTCCATCAGAGAGTCAAGACTGAAGCTGTAGCAGCAGCTCCAGCTCTGTGGATAGCCAGGGCAGTAAGAAGAGGAAGAAGGACAAGAAGAAGCACAAGAAACAAATTTATAGAACTAATGTCCAAAATGGGACTAATATAAGGAGTAGTTGTTGAGTGGGGGTGTGGGAATACATTGTTGGAATGTATAATTTGCAACAACTATTCAGCCAGTAGATGGCAGTGTTTGTAAGTTTGCTAGGTATCATCTATGTACAGTATACACAATGTCTTTTTGTTCTGACTTTCTTGCTACTGTTAAACAGTTAAGCAGTAAAGGTCCATGGTGACTGTGCACTTTGTTCTGTAGGGCTATATAAACAGAATTTGTAACTCTTTCTTTCTTTCCCATTCCTTTCGCCTGAGAAATATTATAATGAATTGAATAGTTTCCTTTTACCATTTTTACCACAATGAATTTATTTCTAATACATTTAACATGTATTTGTAACGTATTTAATATATTTCACAAACCACATTTTAATAAATTGAGCTTGTAATAGATAGTTCTATTTTCTCTCAAATATTGAAATTTCAAAAAGCAATATCAACTACTCATTGGTTATGCTATTGTGATTTTCACTTTGTATAGTTATAAACAGCAATTTCACTGTGCAGTAGAGATATTTGTGGGCACTGGCATGCATCAAACAAAATAACTAGAGTGTTGTAGATTATCTATTTAAATAAATAACACAGATAAATCAGTAAGAATGATATAAAACCTTAGACTTGTATTTCCATAGCATCCCAAATCTCCAATGCCAAGGTCATCAACCATGAACAAGATGATGTTGGGCTTTGAAGGTCTCTCATCTATAGCACCGTTGGTTGGCCAGAGATAAAGTATCAGCTGGAAAAGGATGATCATTCTTCTGTGTTAAGGTGTAATTGCTTTGTGGCACCTGTTTCATAAAAAAAAGTTATTTTCTTGATGAATATAATCATTTTACTTAGAAAATACAGTGAGAACAAAGACAAAAGAAAATAATGATCTTTATGGATTTAGCATGTTATATATAGAGAGAAAACTAAGTGTTACTAAAAAATAAAAACATACCTTTCATCTAATTGTTTAGATTTAGATATGGTATATCACAGTTTCATTCTCAGATAAAGCACAGATACAAATAAACAAGTGAATTGCAGCTTAAAAGAGATCTGTATTAAGATACATGCCATCTGGTGTGAATATTTCCATCTGGTAAAGGTATTGAGAGAGGAAGGTAGGAAAATTGATATTTATAAATAATTTATTGACTAGCTCTAAAGACTCTAAACAGATGAGCCTGATTCCAGAATTTTCCATATCTAATATAAAGCACCATTGACTGGAAACATAAAGACTATATTTGATAACATTTCAGTACTTTAAGTTCTAATACAGAACAATCCTAGACTTGTTTAAACTCTTAAACTCTTAGCTCTGCCAAACATTATGAAGCTATTTCATTTTCTTCAATCCATTCTAAGTTTTGGAAGAAAGAATTATTGTTCAAAATGTGTTGAGTGCAGACAGTCCATTCTGTTCATTGAGGAATAACACTATACTACTGTGATGATGTGATTGATGCAGCCATATCATAAGAAAAAGGCATCAGGAACATGCTGCAAAATAGAAAAACCTCTTCAACAAGGCTAAGCCTCAAGAGGACGAGTTAATGATACTATAGAACATAGCGACTCCATAATGATACCATAGAACACAAAATGAAATTGCATTTTGAAAGGTGCTGTTATTGTCTACAGGTATTTATAAATGTGAATTTAGATCCTCAATGGTTCCTGTACCCTCTCAGAAAGATTTTCAGCATCAGCCATCAATAGAGAAATCAAGATAAACCACATTTCCAGTCCTTTCAGAAAGATAATAAAAAACTTTTTAAAAAATGTAAAAGACTGAAAAACATCCTCTCTGCATCCTCTCCACCTGTTTCATCTAGAGAACCAGGGATTAAACAATCAAACAAAAAAACCAAATCCCTAATCAAGGGACTATCAAGGAAAAAAACCACAACTCCATCAACAGTGGGAGGACAAACTGCTGCATATAAAGAGGAAGCAAACCCACAGTCCCTAGCACTAATGATGTTACCTAATTGGTCAATGAAAATATTTGTTCATTGCCACTTTATAAAGTTACCATCTTTATGTCCTAAAAATGGTTTTTAAATAGTTTTATTTTTCCATTCCCCTCAGATATTTAACAATACATTGACATTTCTTAAATCACACCTATTATTATTTTCTCACCTATTACTTTCCTGTCATCACTTGATCACTCTGGAAGAATATAACAGAGGTAGCCCAATTTGTTCCATTGAACAGGCTAATTTATTTTTAACCACAACTGATTGCGATAGTTGTCACATTTTGTCAGTTTCATTCAACCAAGTAGACAAACATTCTAGAAATACTCCCTCTGTAAATGGGGAGTATGCACATTTTTATTACTAACGTAATAATTAACATACTATTTTAAAAAATAAATAAAAAGGAATTATCACTATCAACAAAAACAAATATAAAATAACTACTCAGTCTAAATATTTCATGATCTGCATTTATCTACACTGTCCCTAAATCTATAAGTAAATGCTTGTAAAGCAGTAGTGAGATTCAATTTTTTTTTACTACCGGTTCTGTGGGTATGGCTTGGTGGATGTGATGTGGCTTGATGGGCATGGCAGGGGAAGGATATTGCAAAATCTCTATTCCCACCCCACTCCAGGGGAAGGATACTATAAAATCTCCATTCCCTCTCCACTCTGGGGGAAGGTTACTGCAAAATCCCATTTCCTCCCCACCCCACTAACCTGCTTTCCAGCTCCATTCTCCTGGGCAGGGCAACAAAAGAAGACCCAGCCAATCAGCTGGGACTCGGGAGGCAGAGAATAGGTGGTGGCTGGGCCAGTCAGAGGTGGTATTTGCTGGTTCTCCAAACTATTCAAAATTTCTGCTACCAGTTCACCAGAACTAGTTGGAACCTGCTCAATACCATTTCTGTTGTAAAGATTTGCAATAGTCTTTTAGAGTGATTTCCAGCTGTGCTATTTCTCCATTGAAAGAGGTTAAACAGTATACTTTTACCAGGTCACTTTCACTACCTGTTTTCTTGCTGTTGTAACTGCAAATGTGTTTTAGAAACAAAAAGAAAACTAAATACTTGAGGTTTGTGGCCTATTTCATTTGTATGGCACTATAATATGCTGTATAAAATAAATTAAGAAGGCACCATTGTCTACTTCAGCAGAGTATGCAAATATGTAGTTATATATACACAGGTATATATAGATCTGTGTGTGTATATTCTATATTTGTGTACAGTATGCATATATACTGCATATCTATGCATATATATGAAACATATATATAATGAGTTTTAGACTGATTTAAAATACTGTAGATTAATTCAGAACAAGCAATACCATTAAGAATGCTGTGACATTCTTAATCAGACATTTTAAAAAGCAGACATCTTTATAATGATAAAATATGTCAATTAATTAATTCAGTTTATTACAGTCGTAGATCAGAGACCAGAACAAATAAAAACACTCAGAGAATATCCAATTAAAAATTCTACAATAAAATAATACATAACACTTAAAATCTATGATAAAATCCAGTCTGTCTATGGTCTAACTATACTAAAATAACAATCCATACACTATGAGGCCCAGAGTCAGTTTAATACTAAAATGCAAAGGAATAAGTGCAAAGAACTTGCCACATTAAAATATCTATGGTGGATTAGACACATGTTTCCAATGAATCCCCAGTGCTGCTATGCAGAATGTGCTGTAGTTACAGACTCTTCTTCCTTAAGCAGCCACTGGAAATAAGCAGTGTTGAATGAATGACCAGGATATCTAGCAATTATTGGAAGGATATGTTTTTTTCTGAATCTCTCTGTAAAAGGAACATCGAAGGAGTATGTGACCCCCAGTCTCCACCTCTCCTGAGTCACAGGAACAGAGTCTTTCAGTCAATGGTATCTTTTTATACTTGCCATACCAGATGGCCGATGGAAGTGCATGGCACCATGTGAGCAAAAATGCTTTCCAATGATTTGCCGACTCCAACTGTTTAAGATAGCTTGCAGGAGTAACAATATATCTAATGATGTCTGGAAGCCAGAAACAACAGAGATTTTTCTAAGTCTGTTTGCCTTTCAATGTCCTCTACCCTTTTTCACAAGTTTTGTTTTGCTTGGTCGTAGTGTAGCTTAGTATTGAGGCTGGGGAGAAGCCTAGTTTGGCAAGGCTAGATTTGACAGTCTTGATCCATGATGAGGAGAATTTGTCTTGGAGGATTAATGGAGCAAGGCCTTGTGGAAAGAAGTTAAGCTTTAGCCAGAGATTTAAAGACGCTATACAGATTCTTGCTTCGACTTTTGTAAATCGTGTCTCCAGGCACAGAAGCATATTAGATACACAATGCAGCATCTGGAGAATTGCTCTAATAAATTTGGATTGAACTCTTTCCAATGGTGTGAAAAATGAAGCTGACGGTCCGAGCAAGGTCCTGTAAAAAAGCTGTGCTATCAACTTGACCAGAAAAAGCTTAATTGCGGCAGGAACATAGTATCCTACCTTTGTGCAGAAAAAATTAAGGATGGCGCTTGCTGATCTTTGGCTCAAGACAGCCACATATTCACCATGTACTTTCTTGAGCCAGTGGCTTGAATGACCACTGCTAGGTATTTGAAGTTGGTTACCTGCTCTATATTATGACCATTTAGATACCATGATTAGAGTTTTGGCCTTTTTGCAAATCTATAATTTTTTTTTTGTAATTTATGTCCAGTTTATTATAATTACAATACTGGACAAGAACTCGAAAGGCTCTTTTAAGACCTACCGGTGTCCTGGAGAGGATCACACTGTCATCTGCATAGAGCAGCAGAGCAATGCTTCAATCACCTAATTTTGGGGAGGTGGTAATTTGGTTTATTTAACTATTGTATCATGTCATTTATATAGAAGTTGAAAAGCAAGAGGGCCAAAATGCACCCATTTAACCCCCTTTTGAGTTTTAACTGACTTTGAGAGGGTTATTGCATATTACATATGCAATACACCCCACCTTGAGGGATGCTTTACTATATAAGACACATAACAGATGAAGAAACCTTCAATTGAAGCAGTTTCTCATAGCTTAGTCCTGGTCTTAGTAACTTGAGATCTATAAAGCCAGCGTATAATGATACATATTGATTTGATATGTATTTTTCAATTAAATGATGGAAAACAGAGCACTGATCTATGGTGCCTCTCCCCTCTCTAAACCCAGCTTGCTCTTCAGCGATCAAGTTCCCAAGATCCAGCCACTCCTTTAATTTATCTTGGAGATGTTTAGCATAGAGTTTGCTGATTATATTTAGCAGATGTATTGGTCTGTAATTGACAGACCAATTCTCAACAAAATTCTGGAAGATAACATTGGAAGTCAATTCAAGACATCTCCCAAAAGTAGTCAAATTTATCATACAGTATAACAAGGTGATGGACTGTCCCTGTTCTGTTCTGTGTAGGCTTGAACTCCCTTAGGCATATAATCACAAGGATTGGCTACATATACAAGTTCAAGACTGTAACCATGATCAGCCACCTTCTTTACAAGGATGGTATCAAGGTGCATGCTAAGAGTCAAGGGTCAATCAATCAGATGTCACAGTAATAAGCAAGCACTAGAACAGTAGTGGTGCAGATATATCTTACCCACCTAATTTGTTGCAACTGAGAAGGAAAGCAGAGAAACTTTTAAAATCTTTTTTTCTTTTTGCTGTTGTTGTTTTGTATTTTATTTTGTAATTAATGTATACAAACAATAATAAGTAACAATACAGTAGAGTCCTTAGTTATTAGATTCACAACAGAAACTTTTGTTTTCAACTCTAAGT